CTGGCTTAAAAACTCTTATCTGCTTTAGTGTAAATTCTGAAAATACTACTGTGATTACAGAGGAGTTGTAGTGCATACAATTATGCTATATGAAGATACACTCATATGTACATACACATCTATTAGTAGTCTCATTTTATTACTACACAAGTTTAGCATTTCCCAGTTATTCTATAAAAATAATGGAATATCAAAGGTTCTACTGGTCAAAGAAAAGCTAGCTAACAGCCTGACTCACAGAGGGAAAATTGCTACCTGTATCTATAAATTCTTCCTTAACTTCAAATAAGGAAGTAGGAAGGGATAGAAATAGAGCAATATTAAGCCAATATTATGGAATGCATATATATCTAGATGAAAACATTTATGCAATATAGTAAATAAAGAGAAAAAAACTCTGAAGTATAGAATCACAAGCCTTTTCTGAAAAGGAGATATAACAGCTTACCTCCTCTCTAGCTGTAAATATCTTTGGTGGCTCTGCTAAGAAATGTGGCCAAGAAATCAAAAGTCTGAACAAGGAGAACTTGCATTTTTGCTTTTATATCTGGTTATTTAATAAAGATGAACATTTTGAAATGGTATTTTGTACTGAGTTTCTATCAGATCTGAAGAACTCACAGAAATGTTAGTGACCATCTTAATATAAAGATTTGTAGGACATTTTTTCAATTTATCCCTCATTTTGATTCAAATAGAATAACTTCTAAATGGCCCAGAATTAATTGATGTATATTTAGGATAAGATAATTGTGATAAGCATGAATTTAACTCTGATTGATTTTGAGTGGTCTTTCTATCTTTTAAGCCATCACTTTATTTTAAGCACATATATATGATGCTGAATTGGCAAAGAAATCCTAAAAGATTTTCACCTCATAAAATAAAATTATCTCTTGAGAAGAATGGATCTAATTTTTCACTCTTTTGGGCTTACCATTTAGCTTTGGTCATTGGTTGGAATAAGAACTCAGCTGTTCTTTGACTTCATATTGAGAGATTTTTGGCGTGGCTGAACTTCTGTCAAATATTGGAATTCTTGTTGGGGGGGCTAACTTTCAATACATGTACTTAGTGCTGCAAGATATATATAGAAAAACTTGGTTACATTTATAATTTGACCATTTAGCTATGAAAAATTTACATTGTGACATAACTAGTTTAAAAATAGTGGGTAAATCTGATTTCTGGGTAAAGTGGGCCTTTCATAATATTATTACTTTAATAATATTTACTTTTATGTTCTGGTAAAAAAAACTTCTGTAGAATTAAAAACAGCTTGGATTACTATACAGTTACTTACTTGGTAGCTACAACTGGTCCAGGATGCAGTGACCCATGTATTCACTGGCTCCTGGAAGCACATAGCACGGATTCTGAGGGTCCTCCAGTAATTACTGATTGATTCTGGGTACAATTTAAAGTGCTGGTGTTGACCTAAATGGCCCTTTATGACTTAGCAGTTGAGGATCTGCAAGATTGCCTGCACCAGCTGGAATTAATCTGATCCACTGAATCTTGTAGAGGAAAATACTTATAGTCCCACACTTCCAAGTATTAAGGGGGACTGAAGCTATAAGACTTTACTTTATAACAGGGTTGATACTTGGAAATACTTGTTTATCTTCAGGAAAAATTGAATTGTTTTGGAGGTTTGTTTTTTTTTAGTATAAGCACTGTACTATATTTTACTTTCATTTTTGTTTTGTACTTGTTTGTGTTGTTCTTTCAGGTGGGGGGGCTTAGGATGTTACTTGTTGTCGTTTTAATTCTGCTGTAGATGTTATAATTTTTGTTAAATTATATGCTATGCAAGCCAACAAAAGTTGTCAGATTGATTGAATGAATGAATGAGTAGATAAATAAATAACACAGAAAAAACAACTGAAAGAACATGACCTATTTCTGAAAACAAATCAACTATTTCAGTGGAAAGCATGACATTCCCCCATAATCTAGCACTAAACTTCTGAAATATGTGGTTACTTATTGAAAGCGTTCATGCCAAAATGATTATTTCAAAAGATGGTTATACAATATTACAAAATGTAAAGGATATTTACATATAAGTACACATAATGAAAATATTAACCATGTGTGCCACAGGAATTCAAGAACATATATTTTTAATAGCTTAATTTCTTAATAATGTGATTACATGAATAAATATGCATAGGAATATGAGAAAAGCCAAACTGAGTGAAACCAAAAGTTTGTCTAGTCTTCATTCCATTCCTGTGTGGGAATGGAACTGTGAGAAGTGTAACAAGGACAAGATGCCAATAGTGATCAGCCAATCATGTTCCCCAGCAACTGCTCAGCCAATCATGTTGCACATACTGCCTTTCATCCAACTTGCTAGCCATCATTACATTTTCCAGTTTACTACACAAATCGTGTACCATTTGGCTTTATTCAACAACTGTGGGTAATCTGAGGAAATTAACTTCTCCTTATGCAGTTCCTCCAGAATCAATGTGTTACTGTTTAGCTTGAAATTGAAATGGTAGACAGAGAGGACAATTCCATATTTTGGAACTAAAGAAAAGATCTGGATGCAAGTGGTTTAGAATTATTTAAAATAAGGATGCTGAATACGTGGACTTTGAATTGGAAGTAGGTCCCTGTGTGTTCATCAGGAACTAAGGGCTGCACATTCCTGATCCAAGTTTAAAATAGTAATTTTCTCTGCCAGATTTTTCACCAACAATCTTAAGGGGAAAACAATCACATTTTACCTTTTGGTTTACAATTGATTGTTTTGCCATTTGAGTTAAAATATTTCTAAGGTTGTATGATATATGTAAATATTATGAAAGTAGGAATGGGATTCAAGCAAAGGAAAGTAAATGGGTCAATTAGTTTTGTGAAAAGTTACAGCCTTTTTTTTTTCTTGCTCTGTTTTGCTCTTGCTTGATGGTAGTAGCATAGAATCATCTAGTAAAGCTGGAGGATTTTGGCCATGTTTACATTGCTTGAAGCCTAATCTTAATTTTTTCGGCTTTGGCTTAGAGTGATTTTTGAGTCCAGTGCTGTAGTTTAAAAGATATCATTTATGGATTGTATAACAAAAAGACTGAAGAAGAAAGTATATTATAAGCAGAAACCTATATTATTTAGGTTTGCGGTGTGAGTGGAAGATGGCCTTAAAAAATTACTATGCCTGGCAAGGTTAAGAGATGCAGAAGAAAAGGAAGAGAATGGATAAGGTGGATTAATGGAATCAAAGAATACTGGAATATCATTAGAAAAATACATGTTGCTGGTGACATGACAAGATGGTCAGCCTTTATCTCTGCAATCACCGGGAGTCAAGCATGGCTTGATGGCACCTGATCAACTAACTATGTTTCTACAGTCAGTTCTACATGAAAGGCTATTGCTTAGTTACTGGAGTCTCACAGCAAAAAACCTCTGAGCTGACTCACAGACAATTTAGGAATTTTGCATGCTTTCAAAGTCTACTGGCTGCTCATTAGAAAGTCTGTCCTTACCTAAAAGATTCAGTTTGAGGAAAGGGTTAAGTGAGCAATGCAATTGCTCCCACCCCATTGAAAGGCACTTTAGAGTGCTGAAGTTCATCTGGATTTTCTGCCTCCATCGGAAAAAAAAAATCTTCCGCTCTTTCCTTGGAAATCACCCAGCCACCCTATATTGCAGATTTCACCTTCAGCACCACAGACCCCTGGACAGCGATGTCCATTTCTTGGCACGTTGCAGCTTAAATCAGAGAAAGTTGGGGGGAGGTGGAAGGAGCGAAAGGAGATTTTTCCGCGCTGGCGTAACCCAGTTGCTCTGATCGGTCTTTACCTCGAGACAGGCCGATACAATCTTGCAGCGGATACGAGAACAGAGTCATTAGATCGCAGCGGGATGCGTGAGCGCATTGTGGTGGGGGAGAGTATGGGGACTGTAAGCAAGCCGCGCCAGTTTTCTGGCTCCCCGAGTAGCTGCTGATTCCAACCTCCCAGTCTGCGAGAGAAGCTGGTTAACCGGGGAGTCTAGGTATCATCTGGCACTTTCGGGAAAAGAAAGGCTACATCCACCGTATCCAGAAGGGTAGACGATCTGGCTCTCTAGACCAAGAATCCTAATCTACGGGAATAAAACAATGTTGCACAATTCGTTCTTTTGAGTCATGCGCCAGAATGGTAAGTAGCGATTGCTCTACCACCACCCCTATCACCCTCCATGGATATATTTAGATTTGGAGGGGGATCTAAGGATGAGGGGAAGAGGGGATCCGTGGACTTTATGCCGATATATGCCAGTTCCATTCTGTTACCTTTCCAGGACAGAAAGCAAAAGAGAAGAACGGATGAAAAAACTAGATCCTCACAGCTGTCACTCCAGAACAGCTCTATTAACTTTAGAGGGAATGTTTTCGGACCAATTGCTTTGAGGATCCTAAACTGATGCCGCTTTGCTAGTGGTACCTCCGCTTAAGTGGTTTGCGATCTCATTCCAATGGCTTCTGGAGGGGGCGATGCAGAGTTGTTCGTCCCACCCCACTTCAGCCCAATCTCCAATAAAGTCGCAGGAATACTGCTGATGTCAAGCGAAGGCGTGGGGTCAGCCTTTCTAGAATTAGGAGAGAGTAAATATAAGTACTACGAGTAGTAGAATTGTCTGCTCACGCGAGTTAAAGTCAAAGAAATATTCCTCATTCTTCTTGGAGATGGCAGTTGTTCCTTCCGTTCAAAGGATGGTGCTCGCTGTCGTAGTTGCTCCCACCAAATCCCGAGTAGGTGGAATAGCGATAGCAGGGATTTGTTTTAGTTCGGCACGCTGCTCCCAATGAAATGCGTGTTAACCCCGCTTTGGGGCTGTATGGTTAGCGTCTCTGAAATATAGCCGCGTAGCTGTGCTGTGGGACGTTAGTTACTAAACCTGAATTCCTAAACACAGTCTTATCTGGACTCACAGCTGGTTAGAATTCATGGGATTGAGCGTCGCCCCTCCTGGCATTTAATAATTTTACCTTCTCCTCGGGGACGACGATGCAAATAAGCAAGCGTGGTGGAAATAATCGTTTCCCTTTCTCATTAGTACGTGGCAAGGTTATAAAGTCTGAAAAGGGCTGGAGCTAACGTTTAAGACTTTCAGCTCTCTCTAGAGGGCGTCCATGATGTTAAGGAACACACTTACGTATCGATTTTTAAAACAGCAACAAAACAAGGAGTTCATGCCACAATAAAGTGATTCACTGGATACCTGGTGTCCTTCAGACCTGTTCAATTACAATTCCCTGCCAGAAAGCTTTCTTGGGATAATAGGGATTGTAGTCTAACTCATCTAAATGGCTCCAGATCGATGGGATATAGTGATCAGACACTTTTTATATGAATCATATAAGATGTGGACTATTTGGATGATGAAAGCTGCGTTGATCTTGCATGTCTTGAAGCCTAGTGTTTTCTGATTTTTTTTTTTCTTTAACAGTGTCAAAAAGCCACTTGGATAATATGTGGTAATCTGTTACTAAACGACGAAAAATGAATAGCAAGAGGACAGGTTTAAAAGCTACTTTACTGAGGGAACAAAATAGTTGAATGAGCCTACATCTATTCATTCAAATAGTTGAAAAAAACTACACTTAAAATCAAGTAATATTCTCCAGATTATGCTACAAATTACATAAGCCTTTATATTTTCTGTGATGATTTCGTATAAGATTAATTTGGTTTCTAAACCAAACAACTCTGCCAATCACAATATGGCTAGATAGGACAAGTATTTCAAATATTCCTATTGGATCAACAGAGCAAAAATGTTGTTTTACCACCAAAACCTATATGCATATTTTTGCAAAAATGTGTATCTATGCAGAATATGTGTAAACAGTATAGATATGTTTAAAATACAGTGGCCTATACATATGTCTTTTAAGGGTTTTTTCTTTATATCCCTCCAAGGAGATGTACATAAATATTTAAAATAAATTATTTTATGATATAGAAATAACAGAATTAGAAATGTCTATTAAAACAAAAAGGGTCGCAGTTTTAAAAGGATGACAGTCTAAAATAGATTAGATTAGTTGGGATTCATTTATGAGTAAATATGCACTGGTTTGTTTTATTAAGCTTTAAAATGGCAGTTTAATTATTCTGCAACTGCTACTTGCTTACCTTCTATATGCTAGATAATTTCAGACTTCGAACCTAATGTTCTTTCTCTCTTTGCCCCAGTATACTTTTAGATGGGAATATATAGCATTCCTTACTCTCCAAAGCACAGTACTCTACCATTCAAATGCTTGCAATACCAGCTGCAAAAACAAAGCTTATTTAAAAGGAGTTCTTGAACTCATAAGTGATGGAGCTGTATATGGAATTCTGTGTAAATGCAACTATACTCATTTGCTCTAAGAAACACAAGTCAAACATTTTAATTGATGGTATAATTGTCACCACGAGGTCTTGAAGCTAGGAAGCACAGATGCTCTGAACAATCCTAATTTAAAACCCATTTTCCCACTCTTTTAAAAAATCAAATACTATATGCCACAACTAAATATGTTCATTTTTAAAATTGAAGTAAAATTGATATTTATTTGGTATTATTTAATACCAAAAAAGCAATATAATGCAAATTTCTCCAAACCTAACAATTTCACCAAAAATGGAACTAGAATTACTAATATTATAGGTGATAATTAAAAAAAATTAAATTAAAATTAAAAATTAAAAATTAAAAAAAAAAGATGCCCAAGGGTTATCGTTATTTGATCGACTCCTTTTCTTCTTTTAAAAAATTTATTAAAAATTACAATTACAAGGAGAAAAACTAATACAAACTAAAAAATAAAGGAGTAAAAAGAAAAAATAGAAAGAAAAATAGAAAATAAAGAAAAAATAACAATATAGTAAAGGAAAAGAATATATAAAGAAACAACTTCCCCCTTCATCACAACCATACATTGTTTTGAGAAACAACAGTCAGCGTTTAATGAAATCATCATCAACAGGTTTACCAGTTTATCATTTCTTTCTTTCTATATTTGGTATTACCTTTCAAGTCCAAATAATTCAATAGCTGAAGGATGGTCTTCTCTGAATTAATGTGATCTTTTATAAGATGTACTGGAAAAGTTCTTCCATGTGCCACACCTGTGGCTGAGGTATGGCTAGCAAAAATATACAGATGAATTAAAAAAACCAAAATATACAGATGAATTAAAAAAAACAAACCCAAGCACAACTGAGTACAGACCTATGGAAAACTAGTCCTTCAGATAATGTAGTTCCAATGTAGGCTTTAAAAACTAAAACTAGTTGGAATGATGTAATCACATAAACTGACCTCATATGTAGTTTCTAATGTGGCATTGAAGGCAGCCCCACATAGAGTGCTTTATTATAAGTCAGCCTGAACTAAAAGATAGCAAGACTTCTCCAGCAAAGTGTTAAATTGATTTCCCACTTGATAGTCAACATATTCATGCAGGGCATGTGGCCCTTGTTGGCAGGCATCCTTAATAACCCCACTTAACATTGTGTTCCTACTGTCAACAATGTTTATGCAGTATATAATTTGCCGTGAAACCAAAAAATTGCCTTCAGATTATCACACTATCAAAGAATGGTCAAACCACTCCTTGATAATTGCAATGAATTCTTGAACAGAGAACCATAGCTCAGCCTGATTAGCATATTATTTTTCATTTTAAACTTTTAATTTCTAGGGTCCAGGGCTCTTGTTTAGATGGCTGATAATTACTCTACAGACTGTGAGCCACCCTCTCCCAATGCAGTCCCCTGTACATGCATCCACTTTCACCCAAATAGGAGCAAACATTAATACCTTGGTGAAGCCATGTGGCAAAATACAGATAACACATTTAAGGAGTAATAATAATAGTAATTATTATTATTATTATTATTATTATTATTATTATTATTTATTTATTAAATTCATAAGCTGCCCAACTCCCAGCTACTCTGGGCAGTTTCCAATTGTTAAAACATTTTAAAACAAAGAACAATACAAAAACACAAAAACAACACAAGACAAAAGAACAACAATGGCAAAGAAAACAACCCCAGAAGGGAAAAGAAATGAAGAAAGGGACGTCAGTCATCCTCTCCAAAGGTCTGGGCGAAGAGCCAGGTCTTTAAGGCCCTTCGAAATACCGTAGGGTGGGAGCCATTCAAATTTCAGGGGGAACCTAATTCCAGAGGGCAGGTATTGCTACAGAGAAGGCATGCTTCTGGGGTGCAGACAGATGGCATTGTTTAATTGATGGAACCCACAGCATGCCAACACTGCCAGATCGAACCAGCCTGGCAGAAACTATGGAAGACAGGAGGTGCCTCAAGTCACCAGGCCCTATGCCATGTAGAGCTTTGTAGGTAGTAACCAGCACTTTGAATCGCACCCAGAAGCAAACTGGCAACCAGTGCAGCTCGCAAAGCAGAGGTGTTACATGGGCATACTGAGGCACGCCCATTACTGCTTGGGCCGCTGCATTTTGAACTAGTTGAAGTTTCTGGGTGGTCTTCAAGGGCAGCCCCATGTAGAGTGCATTGCTGTAGTAAAGCTGTGAAGTATAAATTTTTTACATATGTTTACTTAATTTTTTTTGGCAAATATTATATAATAGGCATATAACGTATACAGTAAGGTACAGACACAGTAAGATCCAAGATATATAGTAGCAGATATAAGAACTAGATGGCCATTTAGCTCTTTATTCAATACAGTTGCAGCCTTGGCTGGAAAAATGCAAAGAGGCTTCAGTTTACTGTTATCTGGAAAATGAAAGCTAATGTCCAGCTGAGAGGGCAAGACATGTTCCAGAAAATAGACGGTCCCTCTGCCAAGCAGGTTAAAAACAAAGGCCTTATATTTCTTCAAAGTCTTGATTGCTTCAAAGATTCTCATTCTACTGTTATTGGCTGAAGTTCATCTCTTCCCTTTCTGATATTTCAGATTGGACCCCCTTAGCTCAGTTTCACTCAGGACTGGCTGTTTTAAGGCAACCATCCAACTTTGAGTTATGATTAGCAGAGAAAATGCTGCATCTTCTGAAACATGACATATAGTCCACGACAAAAATCTGTGAGAGCTATACCACTCTCAACATTCCTTCATTATGCCATTAATCTCTTGTTGACATTATCTGGACTCCAACTACTATCTCCTGCTTTCAAAGATATAGCATTCTAGTCTATTATAGACTAGCAATACAAGAAGGTCAAGTGAGTATTATCAGAATAGTAGCAACTGTAACAGTTCATTTCTCCTTCTAGTAAAGAGATATTTCACAATGAACATTTAAATCTAAGTACAGCAATTTTATTTTTCAGGCAAGGTATAACAGTACCAGTACCTACTAGTAGTCTTTGATTATAGCAAGTAACAGAGCTAATACCTCTGAATTAATGTTATATTCATTAAGCAGAGACAAAACAGCGAAAAGGAGTAAAGGAATCAAGAGTTCAAACATGTACTTCAGGCACAATCATTGAAAAACAAACTCAGATGGAAGTGAGTTCAATACATAAACATCAAAAGCAGAATCAAGAATAGAGTCAAATCAAGAATAGATTCAGTTTTCAACCTAAGCCTGCAGTTGTATCAGCTAAAATTGTTTAAAAAAACAAAAAACTTTTCTTAGCCACTCAGGTTTTACCATTGAGTGATAACTGTGGGAGAAATAGCCACCTTGGATAAAGATGATGGAAAATGTAGTAAAATATTTCTTGAAGATGCTTATTTTGGTGTTTTTAATCCACTGAAATTGCTTTGTTTATGAATGTTAGTAACTTTCTCCAGCTGACTCAACCACACTAAAAGATCAAGGTATATGATTTGTAAATAAGTAAAGAAATATAATACAAATGCATGAATTATCCAGAATCATACAGTGCCGTGTTATATCCCTTTCTCCATGTTTCTTACTTCTATTTCTACAGTATGGATTTATAAACACATGCCTAAAGTCTCTGGTGGTTGAAAAATATGGTGAAGAAATATGGGAAAATTTAAGGTAAGTTATCCCTAGAAAAATTATTCAGAGTTCAAGTGTTAGAAATTGCTTAAAGCCATTACAATAAGGTGTCTCATGTCCTTCGACAAAGTGTGAACAATGGCCTTACCTTAAAGACTACTTTAAAAAATTTCAGGTCCTTATTTTGGTTATTGTGGTTTTCTATATTTCTTTGCAACCATAGTGATTGTTTGGATTTTTGCAGGCTAGACATGACATGCCTACTGCATTCTCCTTCCCCACATCCCTTTACAAGCAGAAAGAAGCAAGAGAGTGATAAAGGCCAGCTATAATCATCAAGGAAGCCACTAGGACCTCTGAAGTCTCTGCTTTTAGCACATGCCACTGCTGCTGGGGAAATGGCTAATTTTGAAACAGTATCAGAGGAGGTGCTTCCTTCCCTCATCCGTTTCCCCCTTCTTCACCTTGTGCTGAGGATTTAATTGGGGTCCCATGTTTAGGGTTCCATATCTCTGCTATTGTATTTGATCACTCAATATGATCATCTAGATTTTCAGATATGGCATCCTTATCCCTCACAATCAGATTTGTTGAGTGTTTGGGCAAGGAATCAGGCACAAGGGAGAACACAGACTCCAAGGTGGCTGTCACACCTCTCTTCACAATATTTACAGCATTGCTTTTTTGCTTCTCTCAGTGCACATTTGCAGTTCTAGAATAAGCAGAGTTGTACATTACATCCACTCAATGTTCACTTTAAAATAAGATCAAAATCCTTTCGAAACCTTTGGAATAAGATTGCATAGGGTACAAACCACCAACACATCCGTATAGGAATAACAACAACAACAACGACAATGCAAAATCCAGTCTCAACATCTGGCTGACTGTGTGACCACCACCACCACCACCAATAACAATAGGAGATTGCACAGGTGACTGTAAACAAAGTCATGACAAAGTAGCAACAATGGCGCATTGGAATATTTGCAAGAAATACCATTTGCCTGCAAGCAAGAACTGGTGGGGCCATAAAATAGACAAAGTAATCAAAAATGAAGGAACTAAAGTGCTCTGGGACTTTAGAATTCAAACAGACAAGCAGCTGCCACACAACACCCCAGGTTTAACAATTGTTGATAAGAAAGACAAAGAGTCTGGATAGTGGACATTGCAATACCTGGAGACAGCAGACGATAAGAGAAAGAACTGGAGAAAACCACAAAATAAAATGACCTGCAAATAGAAATAGAAGGACTGTGGCAAAAGAAAACAAGGATAGTACCAATAGTAATAGGGGTCTTGGGTGCAATCCCAAAACATCTGGAGCATTGCTTGAAGACCATCAGTATTGACAAAATCACCATCAATCAATTGCAAAAGGCAGCCTTACTTGGAACAGCTTACATCCTATGATGATACCTTTAATATTATTAAACAACACCTGCATATCCCAGGCCCTTAGGAAGGAATTGATAGGATGGGAATTGATAGGATGGGTATTGATGGGAAGGAATTGACTCACTTAACAACCCATGATCCTCGCTTAACAACAGCAATGGGGACTGCCAGGATTGCTGTCGCTAAGTGCAATTACATGATGATGTACTTTATGACCACATCACTTAGTGAAGGAAATTCTGGTCCCAATTACCGTTGTTAACCAAGGACTACCTGTAGTGTGATGGGCTCTCTGACGGTAACATGAAATGCCGACTAATAAGATTAGTCGGCACTTCAATAAAGTCTGTATAGTGGTCTTAGCCTTAACTTCTCTCTCTCTCTTGTTGGTTGAATTGATGCTTCCATGCTGGTCTTGCCTTCACAACTGGGAGCTCAGCTCAGCTCAGCTCAGCTCTCAGCATTCTAAATATGGGCATTGGCCCAAACTTCTACTGCTCTTCAAAGAGGGTTGAGGTGGGAAGGCTACAGGTGCTAGGCCTTTTCTCTGTGCCTTGTCTATTTTTTTCCTGTTTGAATGGACTTTAAAGAAATTACTCTCTCCTTTCCACCCTTTTGTTTGCTGAAGAACATTTCTACAGAAGCATTCCTTTGGCTGATAATGGCATTCCACTGTGGTCCACAGATGGGTAAAGATACAGGGTACCTGCATAGTGCATTAATAAGCAAACACTGAAGAAAACATGTTCTATCATTATGTAATGAATAAGTCATAATAAATTAGGTTATAATGACATCGCCCATTCATTGTTCTCTTGGTGGTTTCATAAATAATATAACATGATGCCTATATTGTATTACTGCTGAATAAATAAGATATTATTGCAATACAAATATTAATACGTATGTTAAATTTGCTAATGGTATGCTATCAGTGAGACTTGGCTTTTCTTTGATTAAGGACTTATAACTTTTGCAGTGGCCAGAGAATGGAAACCAGGTTTGTTTCTTCCCAAAATGATCAGAAAGTATAAGCCCTAATTTTGTTATTAGTTTTGGAAAAACATAACTCTATAAATATTGACTTAGGTGCAGATAATTCACAGATATAAAGTATGAATTTGTTACTTTTAAGTCCTACTCAAAACAATGAAATTTAACCTAATCATGGCCGGTTTTATTTTTGCAACTATTCCACCTTTTTCATTTTCAACAAAAACTAGAGATGGTTTTCTAGATGCTAATTACTATAGAAGAGTATGAATCAATCAGTTGACTAAACAGAGATTATGAAGAACAAAACACAAGGTAGAAACTGGCATATGGACATAGTGAAAGCAAGGATGGTTTGTAAGAATAGAAATAAATGCAGGGGTTCAGTGTTGAGGTAAATGTGATTCAGCTATTTTCCTTTTGTTTTCCTTATTTCATCGTCCTACATAGCTTACTCTTTTTTGCATGCTGCGTAATATACTCCTGAAAGGAATAACATGATGGCCATTTACTGTATATATGTATAAGAGGCTAAATTTTAGAATATTATTATAGCAACATTTTTTTTTGGCTTTTTATTATAGAGTCCAAACTGGAGTACAGGATACTTTTTTTACTTTTGAAGTTTATAAAGATGAGATCACAATGCAACTAATTGACAAGGCATGCAAAATGCTAGGTATGTATTATTTTGAAATAATGCCAAGATCCAGGGATGCATCATCATCATCATCATCATCATCATCATCATTTTGGATTAAACAGATCTGGTGGTCTATCATAGGAGCAGCAACTTTGTGGTGGCTGAGGTTTGCACTTAACATTTGGGAAGAGCCCAAGGAAGGCAGTGGGTGGTAGGATGATGCTAATGAGTGCTGTTTTTGGTTAAATATTCTCAGACAGTGCTTTTAAAGCAATTAGAGTCGAAATTTCAAGTAGGCACTTCTCCATGAGGACTTTGCACTATCCAGAATCACTTCTAAACCTGTCCAATTACATTGGCAGTTTGGGGAAATTTATTCATTTGAAATTGTAGAAAAACTAAGTTTTCTCTTTGAAATGTTATGGTTTGGCAGAAATTGGGAGCAATCTCTTTTTCTATTGATGGGAACACTTGCCTCATACTGCCTCTTGGCTTCTGGACTCAAGGCAACCATTATTCCTTCACACAGACTTCAGTATCCTCTTCCTGCTACCTGTGTGGAAGTACTTTTTTGGAATGTATCTTCTCATTTACCCTACTGTAACCTCTGCACCATAGTTACAAGTTATAACTATTGGGAATGGGGCCCAGTTGCACGTTACTGAAATGCTGTCATTTTGCTAACATCACATTGCAGTGGGTTTTGAATACAGGAGGAATGGAGGCTTTGCAGCAAAGAAACCTCCTATGATAGCAAATGCTGAGAAATTTTGACAAACAACTGGACAAATGCACATAGATTGAATTGAAAACTTGTGTGTGTGTGTATACATACATACATATATACACACACATACTAGCAGTTTATTTTATTTTTCTTTTGTATGGAATGAGGGTAAGGCAATTTTTATTACTCCAGGAATGATGGTCGTGCAGGGAAGGACATTGATTGAATAATATTCATTGTACTCTCTTATTAATTAGCTGGAGAGTGAACATTGATTGGCATAGAGTGTTCCTTGTATGTTTGCAATATCTTTTGGTCAGAAAAAGTAAATTATGAGTGTACATCAAAGTGCTTCTGAAGAATTGGGGAGTAATAACGGTGGTGATGTGGAGCTGTTCTGAATTAACCTGGGTTCCTAAACTTGAAACATGAACTTCTAATATGGTAATATGCTTGTTTTCCTAGATGTTTCCCCAGATATGGTCCTGAAACAATTTGGAGAATATTTCTTTGAATTCTGTAAACAGTCAGGTTATGACCATATGCTGAGAACACTGGGAGGAAATCTGTATGAATTTATAGAGAACCTGGATGCATTACACAGTTACCTTAGTCTGTCTTACCAGGCAAGTGGAAATGACTTCTGTGAAAGTAGTAGAGAAATCTGATTCCTCCTTTTGAATTCCCACATCTTCCTAATAACACAATGGACAAATTATGATGTACAGTATATGTATATGTATATGTATATGTACGTATGTATCTATGTTTTGGAGTTATGATGCTTTAGTTTAAAATACTTGGTTGCTAAAATCTGATTTTCATTTTCTAAGATTTAAATTTGCATGTTTTTTTTTATCAAATCAAATTGTCTTCTATCAGATAATTGGCAATGATACCTTTTATTATTGTGACATAACTATCATCAGAAATGAGGCAATTCTGTTGTAATCTGAGAAAAACCCATCTTTGGGAGATTCCATTTTATTAAGAAGACACCAGTGGGGTAGTCTACCCCACTTCCTATAAAATGCCAGTTTCAGAGGACAGATTTTTCTTAGGAGTGCAGCAGACTAGAAAAGGTTAAATTCCCACAATGTCCAATTCAGATAAGGATTTTCTAGATGATGATGTTTGTCTTTCAAAAGAAAACCCATATAACAAGTGGAAAGTTGTTTAACAGAAAGAATGGAGAGGAGACTTAGGTTAGTGGTAGAATCCTGCTTGTACTTCCATCCTTGGTTCTCCCAATTAAAAAAAAAAAAAATTATAGCATGCAGTGGGAAAGAGATCCTCTATTAATCAGTGTATGATAGTTGGTTAGATGGATAATTAATCTAACTTAGTATAAAGAAGTTGCACATGTATAAAGATGTTCAAGTGTTCCCATACTGCTATCAAGGAACAGATTTCTGATGCCTCAAAATGAAGGCAGCAACTGCATTATTTCTTTTACTGAGATATCAGTTATTGAAATATGCATATGGGGAGATTGTTGCATGGTAGGATGCTTGGAAATCTCACAGGATACAGAAGGAAGGTCCATCAGAGAAGTTGTTGATCAGTTCCTTTTGGGAGGAATTTATCATGAGGACATCATAATTGGAAACATACATGCATGGCCATGGCTAGGGCATTGCAATAAAAACTCCAGAGAGATACATTAATGTGTGGAACCATTCTGTTTCTTAGAGAGTGGATAAATAATTTACTATTAACCGTACTGTGATTAAACTGAGGTGGGTCCAGTGCAATTCAGCATTATAGCTTAATCATACTCTCAGATCACCACTGGCTGTTTATGGTTACTTCAGGACACCATTAAAAAGTGAGTTTGGGAATGTAGCATTCTAATATTATTCCTTTTGAGTGTTTTTCAGGAAATGAACGCTCCTTCCTTTAGGGTAGAAAAGAATGAAGATGGGTCAATGTATTTGCATTATTATTCAGACAGAAGAGGCTTATGCCACATAGTTCCAGGTAAGTTGGTGTGTGTGTGTGTGTGTATGTGTGTGTGCATGAACTAATAAGACTTATATTTCTTTGAAATAAAATCTGTTTATTAAGGCTGATAATTTAGGCTGAATCTGTTGGCAAGCTTACCGTACAAGGGAACAAATGCTGCTTGAGTGCTTCAGCAAATATGCTAAGGATTGTACTACAGGAGCTTATGTAATATGACCTGGATTTTTTTCTTTCAATTCAGGAATCATTGGTGCAGCAGCTTTGGACTTTTTCAATACTGAAATTTCCATGGAAATCGTCAATCAGACAGAAGAAGAAGAAAGAACAGGAAAAAAAGAACACATTATATTTCTTGTAACACAAAAGCCTGTATTTTCATACAAAAGAAGAAACAAGTTCTCTTCCTCACCACATCACCTTCCAAATTCTGGAGTTCAGGCAGAAAAAAGGCTGAATAAAGAGGTACTATAATACTTCTTTGTGCAGAAATATCAGTGTGTGTGTGTGTGCGCGCGCGTGTGTGTGTATAGAGACACACATGCATGTGTGTGTATTTGCGCACATGTGTCTAGCTATGTATAAAAGCATCAATGGAGTTTCAGAGTTAAAAACTCTAACATCAATTTATACATGCTATCTCTGAAAAATGTATTTGTAATTGAGATGGCACTTGTACTGGAGGAGGGGTGTCTGCAGGCTACAGTACAAAAATTCAAGATGACAGCCACAAAGGTGAGATTGAAGCTTTACCTGTTTTTTATGAGCTTTGCTCCTAGTGGTTTTCCATCCAAGTACAACCTAGGTCTGTTTCTGTTAGCTTCTTCAAGGCTGATAAGCACTTGCAGTCATGTATATGTTTCAGTGGTCAAATTTCTTTATAACTGTATTTTCAAAGGTAGGTCGTATGACTTGAACACTGAAAAATAAGTGTGTTAAGATTTTTCCGAAGATGAGCCTAAACTGTAACACTTGCATGTGTTGTAGTGATGATGCTGATAACCCAGAACTGAATAATCAAATGAGCATGCTCACAAATCTGAATGTATACATGGATAAAAGTACTTCCAAAAGTGCCTTCAATTTTTCTGAAATAATGAGGCATATTTGTACTTATTTTAAGTAGTTCCAAATATGAAACACATTTTAAATGTTAATTATCTTTCATAATTACACTTTTTTGTTAGGAAATAATTTATTTCTTAGTTTAAAAATATGTTTAAAAGTTTTGTGATTCCTTTAATGTATTCCACAGGAACTTGAAAGAACCATGAATAAAATCAGAGATAAAACAAGTCTCATTCCTGTCAAAAGGAGCCACTGGGAAACAATCAGAGGAATTGTGACAATAGGAAAAGGTAAATGGTTGGGTATAACATCAGTCTTTCATTAATAGTTTTGAATATGGGATTGAAAAACTGAACTGAAAGCATTTTACAGCAAAAGAAAGATTCATTCTTATAAAAATAAGAAGGAGAAGGATAGCTCAGTGCTGTCAACTGGAAGTTTATACGTTCCTGCAATTGCTGAAGTGGGATTTACCTACCAGTCATATTTATGGATTTTGGGAAGAATGCTATCTTGTTCTTTGTCTAAGACAGCAACCTGTTTTTGAGCTGGCCCTGGCTTCTGATTATATAATCAATCAGCTTAATTTAAAAATGTGAACTGTTGGTAGCACAAGCCAAATAGGTCAAGAGATGAGACATTATATATTTTAAGAATAAATGACATGACTACTGCTGTGCAAAGATGTAAAGGAATTTATTTTCATTTTTACAGGCTCTTATTCTTCCATTTCAGCCAAATTAGATATGCTTTTCTTTTAATGCTCCAGTTCTAAACTAACATTAAAATAAATAGTGAAGCAGTTCAGTATTTGCCTGCAGAACACAGCGGTTGGAACTGTACCATATTCATATACATAAAAAATCCCCATCGACAGTCCTGAGGTTCTTGAAAGACAGGAATGGATAGATGAATGAATATTTGTATATAAACAAGTACTAAGTCATTTTGAAGATATCACTTTTTTCATATTGCAGGTCGACTTCTTAGAGGATTTGATCCTGTCTATCCTAGGACCCTCTGGATTGACCCAAAGACGTTTTGCATTGGGCTTCCTTTCCATATTGTTTTTGATGAACAGGTAAGAAAATTAACATTAGTGGACTGATGTGAAGTGGAGTCTCATGTATGTCTTTTCATAAATAGGTAGGGTTTACTCCCATCTTAATAGATATTGGACATAGGATTTAGCAGCCATACAATCCTGGAAGAAGGTGCAGCTGTGTTAATATATTGCAGATGGATGTTACATTCACACTCCTGCATGCTCTGAAAACACTTTTGAATCTAAAGTACTTAGATTCTATCTATCTATCTATCTATCTATCTATCTATCTATCTATCTATCTATCTATCTTGTACTATTTATTACTGAGCTTGTTTACAGGATCACTAATCTCAGGATAATAATCCCTTATATTTTCATCCTATTTCTAGTTGTGTTGTTAAATTATCCACTGGAGTGCTATCAAATACATGCACGCACGCACGCATGCACACATGCATACATACATACAAAAAGTGTACCTAGCTTACTTTTTCACATCACTCATGCACCTTAATGGTTGTACATAGCATGGCGATGTGGTCTTCCAAAATGCAAGGTAAAGGATGAAGAAAGGTTAAAACAGTTACAGAATGAAGGAAAGATTAAAAAAACAGCTGTAGAGCTATTTTCCTTAGTAGACTATATGAGTAAGCGGGCTGAATCCCATGAATTCAAAACTTGGCAAACTTTATTTGACTCAGGAAGCAACCAGGCAGCTGATCAAAAACAGGGAGAACAGATTCAAACAGAGGCTTATACAATAGAGCAAATATGCTTAGGAGTAATACACAGTATCTGCACAAATTATCCACAGCATGCGGTAACCTAAAACAGCAATGCTAAGCTTTTCTTTTATATGCACAGAAGGGCTTTAGACATGCATAACAAGGTATAATGACATCAAAATAGCATATGCATCATGACCTCCTCACATGAATGAGTCAGTCATGTATTTGTTTTATGATATTTGATATAAGTACATATATTGCATCATTAGTGTGATGATGTCATGATGAACCTGTTGTTATTTGCTTCATGCTTGCCTGCCCTGCAGTTGCCTATGGAAGAAGCCCTGTACAAACATTTTTAGTTCTACCTGCTGCTAGACAACATGCATACAGAGAAGTTAATTAGATCTGCCCTCTGGCTGATCCCTTCTATATAGACTCAAGGGAGAAATGAGCCCTTTGGCTATAGGTGGATTGGATATGATGATGAAGATGGTGATGATAGCAGTAATAATATAATTCAACAGTTTTGGACAATATATCCAATTATAAACAATTATAAAAGGCTACATGCAATGTTTAGAAGATGAAATTCTATTGGCAACGGAATAAAAATAGGGACAGGATAAGCAAGAATCCTGTTTTGTTTTCTTTTTAAAGCTTAGAGTGAAACAAGCTGGAGTTAGTATTCAAAAGATTGTGCCTGGCCTTCAAACACTGGGCATCCGTCTCAATCAGTACTTCACTATCGTACGCCCTGAAGTGAAATTTACCATCTCCAGTGTTCAGAGATTTATCAACAGCCAATTTGTTTTCCGGACCAAGAGAGAGATGATGCCAGACTCCTGGAAGCAGCGTCCTATGTTGGAGCTAAGAGGTAGTTGTTTCTTTTCTCAACAGCTATTATGTCTGTGACACACTGAAGAGACAACTATGTTATGGGAAACAACTATTTCTCTCTAAAGTGACACATCTGCTTCCAAACTGAATTGCTTCAGGCTATAAGTGACAAGGAGCTCCTCCATAAAATATAAAATCTGTGAATTCAAAAACCTGATATTAAGGAGAAGCCTGCCCTTCTCCCTGGCAGTTTTTCCATAGGCAGAGCCTGAGCTGGCCTTTCAGATAAGAATATAGATCAAAGGTAGACATTATGTCTGTGCAGGGCCACCGCAAGCAGGTGTGCAAGTTGTGCACTGCACAAAGCACGATGACCAGAGGCACCAAACAGTGGGAATGGTGGTAGCCCAGTGCTGCATTGCAGGGTGCCAGGTGGGGGGAAGAAGCCCATCCAGTGACTACTCCATGCATCTGTGCATGCGCTGTAGAAGAAAAGGGAGAATGAAGCGCCAGGAAGCCACAGCTGCCATGTGACTTGAGGTTCTGGTGGCAAAAAACTTTTTGCACAAAGGCGCCTTACAGGTCAGTCGCAATCCTGTGTCCATGCCCACATTTTGGGGGCTGACATTGGAAACAGAATTATGGCCATTATATGGCAATGGTGCCCTTGGCCTTTGACTGCCTTCCCAGTAAGTGGGGTTATGATTTTGTCTGTTTTGGATGGATCAGAAAGGAATCAGATTGGGAAGACTGATAACATATTTCAATATTTTAGTGCCTGACCATCATTATTCATTTGTTTGAACCAGGGCAGATGATCTGGATGGAGTCTGTTCAGTGCATGCTGTACCTTTGCTCCCCTCTGCTGCGTACATTGCATGAGTTGGAGGAAAGGCACATGCACATTTCTGACATAGCTCCCCATGACGTCACCAGAGATTTGATCCTGCTCAACCAACAGCGGCTGGCAGAGATGGAGCTCTCCAATCAACTGGAGAGGAAGAAAGAGGAGCTGCGGGTCCTGTCTAAACATCTGGAGGAAGAAAAAAAGAAAACAGAAGCCCTCCTGTATGCCATGCTGCCTAAACATGTTGCCAACCAGCTCAAAGAGGGGAAACGAGTTGAGGCAGGTGAATGCATGAGATACAGACAAGTTTAGACATGTTCAGGGCTGTGATCAGTAATTGCTATGATATCCAATGTTTGGAATCAGTGGTAGACATTTAGGGATGATGTACTTACAAGCAAGTGCAGACATGTCTTTATCTTGAAAATGTAAGCTTGAATAAAGCTGGGCTAGGTCATTTTCTCCCCTGATATACTGCTATCAATGAAATTTGGTATATTCACTCCCTTTAAGTATTGATTTATTTTTCCTTCCAGTGAAATTTAAATACTTTTAAACCCCATTGCTTTTGGTCTAAGAATGTTACCGTCTATTGCTCAGAAGAAGTGAACTTCAGAAGGTGGGAATTAAAAGCAAAGGAGGGCTGCCTTGTTTTGTACATTTCCAAAAAACAACAGTTGATATAATATATCCAGGTTTTTCTTATGAGATTGTATGCCAGTTTTTGTAAAGCTCGTATTTTTTATGTTGTATCCACTGGAACATTAGCTAGAATAGGTCTTTATATAACACACGGCTTTGATATTTTTTTGTGCAGCTTTATGGACTTTATCACTTGCCTATTTTCTTGGCTGATTCTATTTGCAGTGTAACAAATCCAAAGCTGGATTAATATATTTTGAAAAAATATTTTACAATTGATATTTTATAAATAGATGTTAAAATACTGAGTATATTAATGAATTTGTGCAGAATTGGTATGTTTCATGATCAGCTTAATTATTAAACTAGAAGACATTTCTAAAACTCTCCTCTCCTCTTTCTCCTCTTTAACTGCAGGAGAATTCAAAGAATGTACTATATTATTCAGTGATGTTGTGACTTTTACCAACATTTGTGCCCAATGTGAGCCTATTCAGATAGTCCTCATGTTAAATGCAATGTATCTACGATTTGACAGGCTAACCACAGTACATGACGTCTACAAGGTATTTGCAATAGATACCATGAAAGTTGATATCATGAAAGTGATGTTATGGGGTGAAAGGAATAGAGATGTCAAGAATAACTCCTTCGTAACCCTGCTCTGATTTGGCAGAGAATCATCAGAGACTATCTAGATTGTTTTGTTTACTTCCAGGTTACCAACAGTCTCTAGGAAATAAAGCATAAATTAAAACATAAAGTGTCTACACCATTGAACAGACTGGACAGACTCCTGTCCAGAATCTTGGAATAAGAATACATCCAGATGCTGATGCTTCTTTTGCCTTGTTCTGCCTTTGCTCTCTCTTTATGCTAACTTGTTGCCCAGTTTCCTGCTTGTTTGCTACAAACATTTGTTAATGTGTTTACATAATTTTTCTAATAAAACACTAATGCACACTGATATATTTAATATCTAAAATGTGAAAATTTCATGCTGATAAAAATCTGTTAAAAAAAATGTAAGAGAACAAATCTTACAAATGTAAGAGAACAAAAATCTATGTTTAAAAAAATATAAGAGAACAAATCAAATATATGTCGCCTTTTGCAATGGCAGGAAGCTTCATCCTGAACCTCACTTTGATCTCTCACTCAGATTGTGAGAGATCCTCTTCTACAGCAATCTTTTTGCTATCCATTTGTAGGAAGATGCCTGAGCTCTTTTATCTTCAATTCAGGTCTAAATAATAT